CAGGTTGTTTGGCCATCCACCAAAAGAATATATAGTGTATAACAAGAGAGAGACCAAGTATGAACTAAAGAAAGGATATACTAATTTCAATTTACAATGCTCTATCAAGAGCGACCAGTATGTCACTAGAAAGGATGACAAGAAAAGACCAAGAAATGAAAAAACAGGTTCCTTAGAAACTTTGGAGGATCTTGTTGAAAAATCCTTTGTAATGAAAAGCAAATTTGATCACAAAGGTAAATTTACTCCTAATTTTTATCCAAACAGATTCAAGTTGAAGGATGAAATATACTTTCAATACCCAGAGGTGCTAACATTGTTGTTGATGCATACCTTGATAGAGTATGCCAATAATAATGTTGAGTATGTTGAGTACTCGATAAGTGTAAAAGATTTAAAGAACCATTATGACTGTCTCCAACCTGGCAAAGTTAAAGAACTGTTTAAAATTTTCAAAGACGATTACAATCTCATTTTTACAAAATGTGACACTATTGATTTTAAAGATGATAAGTTGATAATAGATTTAAATGAGATCAAGTATTACTTTTTGGGAGCATTCAATAGAGGTAAAACATCATTTTATCCAAATGATGTTATTACAGGAAGTCAAAAATTTAACTATATGATTTCTAAAAGTGGAGAGGCTTGGTGCAGAGCCTTTCAACCAGAAAGTTACAATGATATCAGAAATCAAATTTCGGCTGAAAACTTTTTAAGTTCTCTCAATATGAATTGTGTACGAACTATTGGATCGGTTGTTGGGTTTGATTGGGTAGGAGATGAATTACTTTACCCATTCTGTGCTTTTGTATTAAACGAGTTTACAATTCTAGCAAAGAAATACGAGGAGAACACTCAAACTAAATTAGGACTGAGGTATCATTGTGGGGAAAACATTATTGTTGATCATGAACAGGATGCAAAGTATTTTTTAGTTCATATGGAAATAAGTTACAGGACAATAAGACAATTGGTGGCTTCAAAAACTTTCAATATTAGATTAGGTCATGGTGTGGGATTTTTGTTAAAATCTACTAATTATGCATTCAGTTCTGAACTAACAAAGAAAGTTCTAAACAAGATGGAAGAGCATGCTGGCAATTTAAAGGAAGTTACTTTTGAGTGGTGCCCAACCAGTAATGAGTACTTGTTGTTTGACTTCCACGATATTTATCTTCCTAATGGCTTCTCCAATCTTGTTGTAGCAACTGACAATGACGGAATCATGGATGTGGGTGGTGTTGCAAAAGAGACTGAAAAAGCGGCTAACTACTTACTTAGTATCGGTTATGACAATGACTTAAATGAAATCGTGGAAAAGTTAAAACAAAATGCAATCGGTTCAAGATTCATACCAGTAACAGACATTGCTAAGCATGAATAGTTCGTTGTAGTTTACATTAAAATCCTTCTTGTTGGAATAAACTTTGTAAACGTTGTAATAATCTAGATGCTGGGTTGAGGGCATTACCATTTCAAACTTGCTGCTAGCCAACATTTCAATTCCATCCAATATTTAATTGAGATCAGTTGTCAAACCACCATTCCATTAAGATTGGACTATTATATGGACTATTAGCCGTTGATGATAAACCATCCTCCAATGTAATGGTCACTCGTGTGAGCTCTAAGGTGCCATGACAAACGAACAAATTTTCACATGAAGAAATAGATGAAATCAATAAGTGTAAGAATTCGTATAGTGATGATAATCGAGTTAGCTCGTTGATGGACTCTCTTTAACAACATAAACATGCACAGTAAACAGCTACCGTAGTTTTTCGCTTTGTACATGTTGTGTTTCTCATTAATTCGCGAATGGTCCAAGTTGGGGTGGCACTAATTGCGTGCAAATTAGCGCCCGCAAAATATCTTCTGTTTTCTCACTGGTCCTAGCATTTCATATCTTTTGTAATCTCTTTGAACATTTCACACAAGCATTTTAAGGCAAATTTTAGATACTTTACTCTACTCCGAACTAAACTCCTTTATAAGCATGTCTAAATCAATAAATAGTCAACTTACCACCAACATTCGTATAAACGATTAGAAAAAATATGAAAACCTCATTGATTGCATTAATTGCCTTCATTCTTTCTTGCCAACTAGCTTTAGTAACCTGCGCATGCCCACCAGGCATGTACATTGCTAATTCTCAATGTAAGCCTTGCTCACCAGGAAACTATTGTTTAAATGATGAATCCAAGCCATGTCCTGCAGGAACCATCAATACTGATGTTGGACAAACCACATGTCGAGCATGTCCAAAAAATTACATTACCAACCAACAACATACTGCATGCATTCCATGTCATTACAGAACCAATGAAGATTTGACATTCTGTCTCTTGCCAAACACCCCAATGAATGCTTTGGAGATTACTAAAGTAGAAAATCATTTGACTAATATCACTGAAGGAGAATCTAACTACTTTTTCANAAAAATCAAATTTGGAAATGGTCAAGCAACTGAACTAGTCACTGTTCAAGAAACTTTCTCC